TTTTTTTTTTGCTTTTTGGACAGAAATCCCCTAAAAAAATTGTTTATTGCCAAGAAACTTCGAGATATTTTCTATTAACAATAAATTAAACCTCTCCGAGCAATCACTGAACACTATTTCAATTTTTTTAATATCAAAGCTTGGTTGCGTAGCAACCTAGTAAAACTAAGTACTCCTCTTTTGAATTAGTCAATGGGTTATCTTAAAATATTTATTTGCGCAGGCGACTTTTTTTGGCGCTTCTCTGGACTATCGCCAAATATATAAACCTTTATTGCGGCCCAATTTACCACCCAATTTTTTTAAAATTTTGTCTACCCCCCCTAATTCAAGGGTCTAGATTCCAAATATGTAAAAAAAATTATATGTTTATTCAGAGAAAGTACGTTTTTGTGTCTGATTTCGTAACTTAATTAATAGTTAGCACTAGGTTCAGTACTACATTGAGGTCACCCCCAGAAACCATTAAGATTGACACTTAGTTCGTGAAAATCCGATCATTAGAAGGAAAGTCATTCAGGGTGATTCGTTTTTTTTTTTTCTTTTTTTNCCATTAAGATTGACTCTTAGTTCGTGAAAATCCGATCATTAGAACGAAAGTCATTCAGGGTGATTCGTTTTTTTTTTTGCGGACTGTACATACCTGCCAACTTTCACCTGGGTTGCTACGACAACTAAAAATGTTAAAAGTGGTGGCTAATAAACTTCAAAATTCTAAGGAAAAAAATCAATTCAATTTTCATAGCATATTTATTTCAGTTTATTAGTAAAACTGAAAGCAAAGAATGTTAGTATTTTGAATATAAATAATTCAAAATGTACGTCATAGTGTTAGTTATGATTAAGTAATTAAAAAGATAACGCATAAATAAAAATGAATTGAGTTTCTACCACTTTTTATATTATTAATCGACTGCGACATCCCTTTTTTTTATGATTTTCAAAAATTAGTGTTCCTTATGGTAGGGCAAAGCCAATTAAAATTAGATTGTAAACTAGTGCTATGTAAAGACGTGCTATCGCAAGAGCCTTAAGTAACTCATGGTGGTAGTTACGGTTAAATAAACATTAAGGTAATGAATAAACAAAATTTAATAGAGTTTATATCACTTTTTAGACGCCAATGGCACCACTGAAAACACTGCTTTTTTTTAATTATTCATTACATTATCCAAATTTCTGAGCGGAGAAAGAAATTACAATTAAAATTTTAAAAAAATAAAGAGTGGTAGCTTGTGGTATAAGTGGTTTTTGTTATATTCGGTACGTTACCCTAAAAGTCCGAACAATGAAGTAAATCTGATCCCAGATTAATAAAATAAATGAAACATGCTAGTACGATTATCTTTCCTCAAGTAAAAAGTAATTTTTTTACTTACTTTTCTGGCTATATATGGCGGAGTAGTTTTGTCTTAACATAGCATTCTATTCGCCGAGTAAACCTGACATTATTATTAGTTCCCCATGCATTGTATTATCAATGATTTTTGTTCAAGCAATTGCAGCTTTTTATTTACCCTTGAAATTTTTAAACATATTTGCAAACAATTGATTATTGTACTTAATACAATTGTACCTTTTAATACAAAGAAAGTCTTTAGTTGTCAGTTTTTGAGCTTTCACGTAAACTATTTTTCTATGATGCATTATTAAATTCCGTGAAAAAGGCAGAAATTGATTTATTTTTGCCTTCATTTATTCCCATAAATATACATAATTATCACATTGATTATATGTTTTATTAATAAATCTTAAATCTTTTCAAATCATATTCATGATTAATATATATTCACATTGTATTCACCGTATTCGGATATTTTAACAAGTATTTTTTGATTGATGAAATATTCTATTTGTAAAAATTTTGAGTATTCTACATACAGTCGTATGTTATAAAAAAGTTTTTCCTCTTAATCTAATTATAATATTTTTTTTAAAAGGTTTAGATAAATGATCTTGAAAAATTCATGTTTATTTTTTTAACTATTCTAGTTGTCTGATACCTTAGCAAAAATGGCTAATTATCTCTATACTACTCAACTACGCTTAAATGCCTGTCTCCCTTCAACTTGTTCAAAAGAAGACGTAACAGCCTTGTTTTCTAGCGGTATGTAAAATAAGTTATTTCTGTAAGCTTTTTTTTTAATTCTAAATTATTTAATAACGAAATAAGGCATACCGTAATTTCGTTCGTTGTAGTTGAACTGGGCGTCTGAGGAATTACGGATACCGTAATTTACCAAAAAGAAATTCCTTTCAGGAGAAAAAAAAAAGAAGAAAAAAAAACAGTAACACTAATCTCAGCGTTTTTAACTTGCTTTGATTCATCATTGTTTAGTTTAACTTCCAGATTAAGTTTCCATATCTGCGAAGTAACTTTACTACCGAATTAATTTTCATATGTAGTCAAAAAGGTATAAACATGATAATAAAAGACAGCAGTTGTCTTAAACCAATAACACCCAAAATATTAATAGTCCAAAATGTAAAAAAGTGATGTTAAAAAAAAGAGTAATATGTCATTTAAGTCAGTTACGTACATCTTTTAAAAAAAATTATAATAAACGATCATCATCTTGTCTTGAAATTTGTACTGGGCAGCGCAGCGGCCCCTATACCATCCATGATGTTTCTTTTATATTTGTGGTAGAGCTTTAAGGTTAGCAGTCCATGTGGTTGCGGAAACTAGTAATTGGTGCACCGGAGGCCAAAAAGGCTACCTCCGTAAATGATATGATTACAAACTGAATCAAAGGCCATTGATGTTATAATTATTTGGGTTAGTAAACTTAATATTAAGTAGTTAAATATTATTGCGGAAAAAGAAGATAGAAAGGACAGCACAGAACAGGGATAATACAGACAGGTAATAAATAACATAACAAATGAAATCATTAGTCTTTTAAAAAAAATTTACTTTTTATTTATTTATTATTAACAAATAAGTAGTGAGTGATCAGCATTATTAGTAAATTGTTTCAGAACGAGCCGCAGAAATTCCGCAAAGGATGGGCAGAATTAACCGAAAGACTTCACATTTTAGTTTGTAGTTTCTCCTCTGTTTTCTTGATATATTTCGTCATATCTGGAGCAGTTGGCATCACTGAGTATGACTCATTATTGGTGACAGGGAGGTATCGATAGAAAGCAAAAGGTTAATATACCGTTTGCACATCTGTCAAGTTAATAGCTTATTTGAGTCCTGCCACTAAGATTACATGCAAAATGAATAAAAATACGACCATTTTTTTAAACGCATTAAAAATGCGTTAAGTTTTGAGCAATATATGGCCAACCAAACTTATCGAAGGTGAGATTTTTGCATCATTAGGGAAATTGTGTTTTTTCCCTCCAAAAATGCTCGACCTATAATTTTTTAAAAGTGACTTGTTATAATGTCCGGAGCCTTTTATATTATAGATTTATGGATAAATAAAATATATTTTTTTCCCTTTTATCTCTATAAACGTTAATAATTTAAAATTATTTCATTTAAGGTTTGGCGTATAGGAAGAGCGGAAATAAATTAATTGTACCACATTGTGACATTAAAGAAAAGCTGGAACTTACAGCCACGGAGATTTTTATTTAGTAAGTATAACTTTTCTTTCTATTGTTTTCATGCGTCCGTTCTGCTGACAAAGACATGCAAGGGAACTCGCAAAAGTAAATTTTCCTATTTTTGTTAAACTCAAAAATTATTTTATTTACTAACACTTAATTAAACTACATCAGTCTAGAGGTTTAAAATTTTTTCCGACATAATTATCACTTTGGTCGATGCCTTCTTGTAGATGCTGTATTAGTTTTTGAATACTCATGTCATACCAGCTCTTTGCTATGTTTATAAGATTGCACTGAACCTAATTTTCACTTTGTAGTCTGTCAGAAGTTATGTTAATTTGAGCCATCGCATTAATTACAATAGATGATTATCATCTTCCACCTTATTGTACGGATTTGGCAGCCAGTTACAACTAACTGTTTCTTAAGTTAGAAGAATATTTGGCGGGAAGACGATTGAGGAAAGAAAATGAGGCGAAAGATTTGGTGCAACACAAAATCATATCTCTGAAAAATGGTATGACATGGGGCAAACAAATTAAGTCACAGCGTATATAAAAACAAACAGTACATACTTTGATAAAATCGTGAAATACAATGTAATTACTAGAGCCCGGATTTTGATGACCTAAAAATCTCAATTAATGCCCTTGAAAAGTGCAAAAAATGTCTTTACAAACTGCAAAAAATGCCCTTAAAAGTGCAAAAAATGCCCTTAAAAGTGCAAAAAATGCCCTTAAAAGTGCAAAAACTGCCCTTAAAATTCGAAAATTGCGCTAACAATGCCTTATGACATGACTTAAATAGAAGTAAAAATATTGAACTAAAACATTGTTTTACTCTTTAAAATTATTATGAGTCGTTTCAAAAAAAAAATGAAGCAATGCAATACTTGTTCTACGTTCATTAAAGTTTGAAAAATATGTTTTATATCCTAAAATAACAAAAAAAAGGAAAATATANTATTAAGTTATTTAATCAATATTAATTAATACACAGAGTAAATTTTTTTAGACATATTTGTATGCACTCGTAAACATATTTATATAATATCTACTCTTCTAGCTTTCATACTAGAAAAATCGTGTATAATGCTCTCAAAATTTATATTATTTGCAATTTCTTGTTCTATTGACAATATTGCAAGATTTTGTAGTCTTAATTGACTCATCGTAAAAAGAAAGATAATTTTTTTATCAACTTCAATTTTGAGAAGCTTCTTTCGCAACTAGCGACACTGATTGAAATTGTAAAAAAAATTCTTAACAAAATTACAATGTTGGGAACAGAATTTTCCAACCTATACTGCTGAATAAATTTTAGCAGATCAAGAGGGCCCTTCTCCCCATTTTTCCAATGTTTTGCCTCTTCTTTTAGTGTAGGTACAGCCATAAAAACCTGGATCCTTTTTCTTTCAATATGGAACTGTTCTTTATCAATGTTAATCAAGTCATTTATTTGAGATTCAAATTCTTCATTTAGTAGGTTACACGGATATTTTCACGGATATACACGAATATACGTTACACGGATATACACGAATATTTTCTTACAAGGCCATGCAACTGATCTAAGCGTTCTTTTATTTCCTTTATAATTCTGTCCATAGATGAAAACATTTCTCTTCGTACTTCTTTTTCTAAGGATAGCCCCACGTCTCGCGAATTTTCCCCACTCATATTTTTTCTCCTTCTAACTCGACGTTCAGTCGATATCTCCAACTCTTCACAAATTTTTTTGGCTGCTATAACAGCGTTTTGTACTAGCGTATCTCTTTGTTCCATGAAATGTGTTTGCAAAGAATTTAGTTTCATATGGCATTGGTGGGCATTTAACCCTTTTATTTGCAGGTATTTTTGAGCGTCATTAATTTCCAAAAGGACGGGTTCCCATAAATGAAGTTAACATAGAAAAGAAAAAGATTGCATAGAATTGAGTAATACTCCAGCATCTGATCTCGTTTTACTATTTTCTTCTTCAGATGTCAATTTTTCCAAAGCGCTTAAAATGTAAAAAAATTTTTATTTTACTATAGTTACCGCGGCAGCTCTAGCGCTCCAGCGAGTTTCTACACTGCGTTTAACACCTTGACCAGTGACAGAAAGTAAAACATTNAGATGTCAATTTTTCCAAAGCGCTTAAAATGTAAATATTTTTTTTTTACTATAGTTACCGCGGCAGCTCTAGCGCTCCAGCGAGTTTCTACACTGCGTTTAACACCTTGACCAGTGGCAGAAAGTAAAACATTCCATCTATGAGTGGAAGAAGAAAACAACGAAAACAACTGTTCGATAGTTCCAAAAAATGTGATGGAATTGATAGCTGTAGAAGCTGCGTGTAAACATGCCAGGTTTAAAGAATGATTAGTACATGCTACAAATTCTGCATTTGGATTTATTTCTTTAATACGAGTTTGAACACCGCTGTGCTTTCCTGCCATGACGGCAGCCTTATCGTAAGCCTGTCCTCTGCAATTTTTTATATCTAAACCGTCATTTTCTAATTTCGTTAAAATCTTATCTGTGATTTCACCAGCAGTTTTTCCTTTAGTTTCTACAAAGTCAATAAACGATTCTACAACTTTAACTTCGCTACCATCAATAACTACATATCTAATAATTTGACTGGTTTGATCTTTGTGTGAAATGTCAGGAGTGCTGTCAAACATAATACAAAAGTATTTAGCCTGCTTTATTTGATCCATAATTGTTTTTCTGACTGCGCCTCCCAATAGCTCTATGAATTCGTTCTGGATCTTCGGCGACAAATAAGAGATACTATATTTATTACCCATCTTAATTTTTACTACGTGTTCTCGTAATACTGGGTCGTACTTAGCCAATAAGTCAACAAGCTCAAGAAAATTTCCTCTATTTTCCATTGAATCGATGTTTTCCTGATGAACACTTTCACGATGTCCTCGAAACGCCAAATTTTGTTTTGCTAAGAATCTAATTATATCAAGTATTCTTGTTAGAATTTCCTTCCATTTTTTTATTTCTTTATCAATATTCTGTTGTTGTAGTTTGTCAATAGTTGCGCCACGTCCAAGTCTTATTTCTAATTCCTTCCATTTGGAATATGATCGAATGTGCAGTGGACTCACCTCATGTTGACTAATTTTGGGATTAAGTTTCCACCATTTGTTAAAACCATTTTCCGTATTAAAACCTGCTTGACAAAGATTATCAAACAGTTTGCAGCAGAAACAATAAATACTTTTCTTCGATGGTGAATATACCATCCACGATCTTAAGAGCTTTTCGCCATTAGGCAAAATTTGAAAAAACCAGTCCTGACTCAGTTTTCTTGTTTCACCTTTGGCTTTGATTGTATTATTAGGACGTTTTACTCCTTCGCTGAAGT